ACAGTCAACTGGCAGCTGGATGGACGCCATCGGCACAGAATTGTGGCCAAGCACGTGGATCCGCAGTATACTATGAGTCCGCGCATCAACAATGACATTGCTGGGGCTCCATAACACCCACCAACTATCAGACCATCTCGAATGAGGAATGCGTCCGTTGGCTTTCGCGTCACACCCAACGAGATTTGAGCACTCTCAGCGCCCGGCTAGGGCGCCTGCGCGTTAGACTGAAGATTTGCTCTGCTTAATTCGACTACTGGCATTTCCGACCAATAGGGTGACTCGGGTGGTCCACTGATCTTGACGGCCAGCGGCCGTCCACGGCAGCTGGTGGGCATTGTGTCCTATGGCAGCGTCACCTGCACACAGGGCAAGCCCGATGTCTATACGTGTGTCTCCAGCTTTTTGCCCTACATCAACAAGATCCTTAGCCAGGATCTGGCCCAGGCTACGAATAAGCGATAAATTCTTTTGTGGTTCACATTTTATTTGCCTTCATTTCTACTGTTCATTATTTCGTTTCCTTTCATACCCTAAAGTCATTGAATGTGATGAAAAGGGGTATAATGTTTTTGTGCACACGTGCATATGTAACAGGCATAAGAAAGCAGCTCCGACTGTAAAAAGTATATGTATATGTACGTTCTTGATGAAAACAACGAACTGGGTTAATCTACGTGATCTCGGATTTTGCAAAATATAAATATAATATAATATATATTCTATATATAATATATATTCTTCTATACAAAACGCAGAGGAATCTTATCTTCTTTATCGATATCTCATAGCAATCATATACTAAATGGTAATATTTAACTTTTTGGATACATCCAAACATTTTTCTATAAGCTGGAGAAATGTCATTATTTAAGGATTGTGTCGGCAGTTTGGCGCTGGGTCTAGGGCATCTCCTAGCCGGGCTCCCGCGACTGGAGCATATTTGCTTGTTTTCATTTTTTTTTTTTTGCGGCTAATTAAAAATCTTGTTCAATATTCGCCACAGCCGTTGGCAGCCTGGCCTGGCAGCGTCTTCAACCCGGCACTGGGCCTAGGCCTAGGTCTGGCCTGTAGCCTGGGTCGGGGCTGGTCTGGCCTGGTCTGGCTCGACTCCAGCTTTTGGCCCGCTCTGCGCGCACCATGATAAATGCAAAAAGCAATTTATCGCACATTTAACTCAATTCAGTTTCTTTATGGGCAGCCACAGACGGGGCAGCGGGACCTTGGGCAGCAGCTTTTGTAGCTTGGGGCACGCCTGCCAGCCAGTCGGCCAGACAAAGTTTCGCTGACACGCACGCTGCATGGACCTGCTGCATGCCAAATGCCGCATGCGGCCTGCTGCCCCATGAAACTCGTTGTCCGAACCGTGGCGACTAGGTCTCCGCTCAAGCTCTTGTAATTCGATATTAGATTTTATGTGCGACAAATACGAAGTGCAAACATTTTTATGTTCCCTCAATTTCTATGCTGCATTCGTATTTGTAGTAGAACCAACTCGCGCAAGAGATGCCAAAGATGCGCACCTAGAGCTCTTCTTTTCTTTTACATAATTAAGTTCAAATAATGTGGAGCTCACGCTTTTCGATTTGTGCATGCCAAATACCTAAAACCTATCCGGAGATCAAGTGGAAAAACAAACTAAATGATCTGCAATACTGCAACAAGTTGTATATATTTTTTTAATTATTTAAAATTATTTTGTCTATTTTTGATTGTTTTAATAAAGAAGACTTAACGGAAGAAATGGCATAATCAAAATTTTTGAATTGGGGTTAACAATTATTTTATCTTGAATAACTATTTGAATTATGTTTTTCAAATTTATAATATAAATATAAAGTTGAATCATCCATTTAATTTTCCATATTTTTAACTGTTGTTTAACCTATAGGAATCTCGTATCATACTCTTATTTTTTTAGTCTTTTCGATCACTGGCCAGACCATATTAAATCAATATGGTCACACTGTTTAATAAGTTGTCTGAGAAATCTAACCGTTGTTGACGCATGTTGTTTCGGCAGTTAAAGTTAATATCCAGAAGCAACATTGACTCAAAAATTTTTCAGTGTTGACTTATAAGAATATGAATATGAATATAAGCTATTGTGAGTGTGGAACTTGTGCATGGCATAGGGGTAAAGGTGGGGGTAAAAAGAGCAAGAAAGAGTGAGAGAAAGAGCGGGATCGTGCATTTGTTAGACGTTCGTCGCTGACCGCATAAATTCATTTAGATCAATCAATTCAATTTGTTTGTCAATAAAACCTAAATGAGTATTTCATTTAAACAAATTAAAATTCGACCCATTTGAATGTCGCGCAACAGAAATTCCAACTGAACCCGAACAACAATTAAAATCGACGTTGAAATAAGTCTGGGATTGGCTCTGAACAGACTGCAGACCGAAGACAAAAGACTGAGACATACTTATTACCCTGCAGCCAGCTAACTCTGAGATATATTTATATATATATATATATATATATATATATATATATAGCTATATGCATATATATGTAGATACATCCAGCAGAGGAGCTGTCTTGCAGCCTTTGTTGACTTTTCATTGTCAATTAAAATCAAATAAATTTATTTGCTGCTTGACATTCGCGTTTATTTCGCTTACTCTCTGAATTGTGATTGCGATTTCGATTCTGATTCGGATTCAGATACAGATTCAGCTATAGATTGGGGCAGGCAAGTGCATTGGGTAAGAATTATTATTTTGACCTTTTTCTTGTATTTATCGCAATTTTTTTTGGCTGCTGTGCGTAACCTTTGATTGTCCCCATACTACTTTGCCTTGCCCTGCATGGCCACAGATTCCATGGCCTTCTTGACGGTTTCGGGATCGCCCAGGAATTTCATGGGCGCCAGCGGCAGCATGCACTTGTCCAGCTCGTAGACAAAGGGTATGCCCGTGGGCAGATTGAGCTCCATAATGGCCTCATTGGAAATCTGATCCAGATGCTTCACTATGCCCCTCAGGCTGTTCCCGTGTGCGGCGATGATCAGCTTTCTGCCCTGCCTTATCTGCGGCACAATTACATCGTTCCAGTAGGGCAAAGTGCGCTCGATGGTCAGCTTGAGGGATTCGGACTTGGGAAACTCGTCCGGTTTGGGTCCATCACAATATCTGGGATCCTTGACTATGCACTCGTAGTACTTGTGATCCTGCTCCATTGGGGGCGGCGGCGTATCGAAGCTGCGTCGCCAGATCTTAACCTTCTCCTCGCCATACTTCTTGGCCGTCTCCGACTTGTTCAGTCCCGTCAGCCCGCCATAGTGGCGTTCATTGAGACGCCACGTCTTCTGTATGCATATATCCTTTTGTCCCGTCACCTCCAGTATGGACTGCAATGTGTCCTGGGCTCGTGTCAGTAGCGATGTGTGCGCCACGTCGAACTTCAGCTTGGCATCCTTGATGGCGTTGCCCGCAGCACTCGCCTCCTTGCGCCCCTTCTCCGACAGCTGGGCATCGTACCAGCCGCAGAAGAGATTTTGCTGGTTCCACTCGGACTCCCCATGCCGCACCATAACTACTGTGAATTTCTCACAATTATGAGAGTATTTTCGCTGCAGCTCCCGAGATATCCATATGGGTGGCTCCAAAAAGGCGCCCCTGTTCTGTCTGCTGCCAAAGCAGAGGTTCAGCAGGTGACCACCGTAGCCGAGTCTTAAAAGCCCAGACATTGCCTACAATTTAAAATTTTTAGAGTCTGAGAAAATAAAAGTCTGACAAACGGTTGAATGTATTCTTGCCTACTGTACCGCCTATAATTAATACAGACTTTTTTAATCTGACTGGACGCAACTATAATTAATACAGACTTTTTTAATCTGACTGGACTCAACTAACTCAGGAACTACAGGATCTGAAGATGGTAAATTGAGTATATGACTTCTTCAGTACAAAATTATAACAAATTTAGCAGGTTTCTAATAAGTCTATCGAAGTAAGTCTGTCGAACCCTAGCAAATCAAATGTATGTTCCAAGAATAAGAAGTGTTAGCAGATTTTTAAAGCTATTCTTATTCTTTTAAGAATAGTATTTATCTTTCTTCCGAGTCACCTTGAATTATGGTATTCTGAGTCCGGCTGAAACCTGCTAACTTAGGAACTACGCATGCTACAGGTGGGCAATTTAGTATTTGGTAATGAATTATTGTTCCTAATACACACTTTGCAAGGATACCAACCCAAAGAAAATGAGATTTAAATATTAATAAAGAACAATTTCTGCTGGCTCTTAAGTCTGGCTGCACCTAATTCAACTCTGGGACAGGACATGTTAGAGTTATCAAACATGGTATGTGAGCTCCCCTAAACAATATAGAGCTCTGACGATCATTTTTCCTCCGCTGGAACACGTGAAGTGTATCAAGCCCAAGAGGGGGGACCATACGTTCTCTGAAATAGCCTCAGCTACTGTTGCATAATGCCTTCACCCCTAATCATTTCAAGCATAAAACGAGCGACAGCTCAATGCAAACTGTCAAACTGAAGCGTGGACACCGAAAGCAAACGAAAAAAACCAATTGCCTAAGAGACATTTGAAAAAGTATATGGAGCTAGGTGGATAGGATACGGCTGGAGCGATCCACAGCAGAAGTAGAAGCAGAAGCAGCCATAAAGAGCTTTTACGACCGCCACTAGGCGGCAGCTCGAATGATAAATTGTCTACTGTGGCCAGTTCTGGTCTGGTGGTGCCTGCTGGTCGACAAGTTTTCACTACCAGAGATCGATGCACCACCATCACCAGACTGACCAGGCCCGACTGGAGTCGGAGGCGCGCAGAGATTAGACAATTTGTAGGAAAGCTGCGGAGCCGTTTCAGGCTTTGCCTGGAAGCGCCACTCTGGTGGTGGCAGAGTCAAGGCACGGGCTATCGGTCCATGCGGAATGCCATGTGGCATACCTGGGCCGAGAGCTCTTTACAGTTGCCTCGTGTTAATTGAAAATTGTACGGTAATGTTGCTTATCGCTTGGCTATCAGACGATGTCGTCGTCGTTCCAAGTATGGGGTCTGTCTCTGCTCTATGGGTTGGGGTCTGGGTCTTGCGTGTAGCATGGATCCGTGCGGCATGCTTGGTGCCACACCTCGAGGCCTCACGCATTGGCAGAGGTGTTTGATAAACATCCCAAGCCATGTCTTAGGATTTTTTTAGGTTTATTTTTTATGTGGCGTTCGCGGTGAAAATTTCTCAAACGCTTTTTGACAACTTTCATGTGAACGCACTTAACAAAATTTATCGCCTCGCGCATTATTTGTGGCTTTAATTGCTTAAAGACGTTAGGAAGCTGTACTCAAGCTTCTTGACATGCTTCTTTCGGGCCAGACGCGGGCACTGACACCTGCGGCCCAGCTGGGGCTTAGCCTTTTAAGCAGGGCTTTAAACGCGTTGCCAGTTGACACGATTCGCGGATTAATTGCTTTTACAAAATGATTGATCACATTCAGTTATATTGACTATAATTATGTCTCTTATTGGAACAAGTTCTTTAGGTTTTCGAGTTTATCGGGTTATTCCCAGAAAGACGCATAAACATATTTTCGAAATTCTTACTTCAATTTCAGTTCCAACATAGTTCTTCATTCATTTCAGTCAATTCAGTTGCATATTCCCAACAAATAACCCGAATAAAATGCTTGTTTTAAAAAAAAAAGAAATATAATTGAAAGACTAACAGGCCGGTGATTAAATACCCTTGAAGAACAGTAAAGCTCGTAATTGCTAAGCTTTCCATGCAAAATCTGAATTTTTGTGTAATTCTTTCTATGAAACTATAAGTTAAAGTAGTTCGATATTGATATGACAAGCTAATAAATACCTAGTTTGAGAAATATATCTTGATAAATAAAACTGATCTTCATATTGGAACTTAATTTTCAATCGTCGGCTATGTAATATGTTGGATCAGACGGAAAATGCAAGAAAATTACGAAACCCAACTAGTTAGTTGGCAAAAAAGCAAATGAGCTATATAGGCTCGGGATTTTTATACGGAATCTGTAATGTATGTATATTTCATTACAGAGTTATAATACCCTCCAGAAGCGTATAAAAACTGCATTTCATAAGCATTTCTGCAGATCCGTTGTCAGTTTGTTACCCGATTTTAGGTTTGTGTTGGACCAGTCGGGTTGCGGGCACGGTGTTAACAAGATAAGCATCCTGTGGTCGTCGCCGTGGCGGCAGAACCGCCGGAACGCCATCAGTATTATGACATTTTGGTTGATTGCCCGCCTCATTGTCGGCCTTGTTCGATGGCCAAGTTCTAGGGAATTGTGCGTGTGGCCGGCCAGCCACCAGAAGAGGGCCTCACAAAATATTCAGACTGCAACTTTTATTGCCTGTTTCTGTTTCTTCAATCTGATTTATATGCCCGGTTCTCAAAAGCAAAGCCGCTCATTTTATGACCCGACTTGGCGGCCGTCAAGCTGGACCCTCGAAAAACAGTAGCCAGCCTGGAGCTGGGAATTTCATTGCGGCCTGCACGTGTGCTCTGCTCTGAATTGGTATTTCCCTTTGAGGATTCAAGATAATATTTTAAAGCGAAAATTTTATAACTACTTAATGTCTTATTTGTTGACAATATTTAAATGATTTCAACTGATTGACAAACGTAGCTGAATGATGAGAGCATTTTTTAGATCGAAGCTGCTTCTCTCCTTCATCGCCGTTTCGGTCACAGGGGCCCCCTGCCCCTCTTTCGTCGGGACATCCCTCTATACTATTAAAACACAAACTCAATTAGAGTAAAATTAATTTCGATTTCTAATACAATTAGTTAACCTAATATGCAAATTAGTCAAGCTAAAGTTATGGATAATAAATAAGACCTGGCATTTTCTACATGCCTGTTAGTCAGCGCATTTTCAAATTTTCCACTTGTTGTTGTGGCAATTAATTTTCGCACTCGTTACGACAATTTCGCGGGACAACAACAACAACAACAAAACAACAACAAGTTTTAGTTAATACCGAGCATGGAAGATTTGGAATAAATGTTGGCAGAGTGGAAAAAAATTAATTGCATGTTTTGCATAATCAGTAAATTGGTCGTTTATTTTAGTACTTAATTTGCTAGCAGCACGAGGTGCGCCAACCCAGGCAGCCCCCGTCCAAGGAGCCTGCCATATGCACACACTATAAATTATGACTGCAGTCGAGTGCTCAACCCCCCCCCCCCCCCCCCCCCCACCCCTCCCCTCTGCAACAGATCCCTCAGCCTCTTACTCTAAGAGCCCCTTCGATGGGTCCAAATAAAAAACATTTTTATTTACAAATCAGATAAGAGATCTGAGATCACAGCAAGCAGCTTGAACCATTTGTAGATATGCAGCCAGGAGACTCCGCCGGGTTACTGGATACCCTGGATACTCTCGCTCCTCGTAATATTTATCGGTCGCGTGTGCTTGTTACCTAATTGATGACAACAGGTAGGCGCTTCTGTCAACCCGGTGAGAGAATATGATTGCAGCGAGCTCATCTGCAAGATATCTCTTATGATTGTCAGGCACGCACAGCCAAACAGCGGGCGGCAGCAGTTGTCCCACTGCGACCAAGTCAGGAACTTCAGATTGAAGTGAAATGTGAGAATTCAATATTTGTGAAATATATATTCCTGGAGCCTTTTACTTGTGTGCCCTGGTCCAAAGCATAGACATGATATACATATTTTTAAAGTAAATATAAAATATATTTGTCTGTCTTTTCTCATTATCATATAGCTTTTAAAGGAATAATATTTTACAGCTTGACATTTTATATGCCAAACATATTTTTCCAAGATATCTCAAGCACATTTTAAAATTACGGTTTATACATCTTTAATATCATATCATATCGATAATATCATATGATTTCCAATAGAACAATTGGTAGTACATGATTATTTGTAGTAAATATATACATATTTTAAATACTTGAAAATTTCGAGCAATATGTGAATCTTTCAGTAGCATCATATCACATCATATTATCTCCAATCTCCCATAACTCCTAGGGAACACTCGATCGCAACAGTTTTGCATATGAAAATCTTTTGTTTTTCCAGCATCTCAAGCATAGTTGGATAATACGAGCTATATGTTACCATTCTCCTTTTAATCTCATATCATACTTTATTTTATTATATCAAATTCTATCATATCAAATAATTAAATCCTAAAAGCTTCAGTCTAATATATTTCATAATTGCCATAGAGTTATGGGAATTCTGAAAACTCAGCTTTCATGTTACTTTCAAAATATTTGTGGGTATTTGTTTGTATTCTTATTTTTTAAAGATCAGGACCTAGAGCCGACCAAAACCCAATACATTGCATGCAATCAAATTGAAATATAGAACACTTGAAGTTTCCAGGCTTAACAAATCCTTTTTAGCCCTGGGCCGTGGCCTAGCATGAATCTTAAATATGCTTTGTTCTTTAACAATTGTTGAACAATTGCATTTGCTTTGTAACGGCTGCTTAGAAAATTCAATTGCAGCACTGATTGCATACCCTTTCAGTGAGTTGCTTGGCAAATGCATTAATCATGACAAGGAATTGAATTCGCTTTCGCTTTGTTGTGGGCAGCTTCTTGTGTGTTTCATTTTGGGTGGCATTTCGCGCGCAGACAGACAGCCAGCGCTTAGCAGAGCTGGTCTTTGGGGGAGGTGGAGACGGTTTCTTCAATTCCTGGGAATGGCACCTACAGACTGGCTGCAGCAACACCTACAACCAAATTGAAACGACAAGACACAGACACAAGTGGCACAAGCAGCACAGAGGAACATACAGCGCGGATGGTAGAGTGGAGGGGGTGTCAGTCGGAGGCAGGTTGAGTGGCTGCAGCTTGATCTGGTTGCAGTTTTAATCAATGAATAATTTAAATATTCTGATTAAACAAGCTGCTGCTGCTGCTGGCTGCGAACATTTCTTTTAATTCATTGTAGACAGCGGAGCATGGGTGGCGCTCTGTGGGGATTGAGGGTAGGGCGGGTGCTCGGCACAGGCAATTGGAGCACCGCAGCCAGTTGAGCAATCAACACCTTTCCGGCTGCATTTCAGACTGTATCTGTTGCTGGGGCGCACATGTTCGATGCAAATCAACTTGCGAACCTGGGCGGGCCCACAGACCTGGGCTATCTCCGAAACCCTGCATGTGTCAGTTCCGGCCTGATTGGAGGCCGGCTAATGAATCATTTTGCTGTGCCTCGCCAGAGTGTGTGGCAGCGACGAAAATTAATTATGCACACCTCCACGTTTTCTGGCTGGTCTTAGCTTCTCCTGGAATCGCATGTTGAGGTCTTGATCTTTGGACTACTGTGTTAATTGTTGGCTCTGTTTTTTTTTTTGGCGCTGACTACCTGAACCGATTTGATCCTCAAATGGCTTTATTATTATTATTTTTTTTTGGCCAGGATGTGCCGTTGGCGCCATACTTCAGTTGCGTCCGCCTTTGGTATTTGTTAATTGGACCACCCACAACACACAACCGCACAACGTGACAGGATTTGAATCTTGGTGAATTTTATATTAAGCTGCCGGTTTTAATTTGCATGTGAGCTCACCGACTCGCCCTGACAGGTTAATCCGCATGTTAACTCATTAGGCTTTGTTCTCGCCCTGGCACAAAATTCTGATTAAATGCGGTAGTCAATTCCATTGAACTGGCTGGGAAAACTGTTTAGGTTTGAAAACGGTTTATTCCAAAGTTTTTATTTTGAATCAAACGAAATTCTGGATTGCAACCGAAGCCGTCATCGCAGCTGGTTTTAACAAGAACAAACAAACTATGTCACATTTTATGAGCTGCCAGTTATCAGACCCTAAGCTTGGCTAGCTTCACAAGCTTATCTTGCTTTATGGAACGACCTTGTTAACTATTCTATGCGGTCAGACCGCCCACAGCTATCGCCCCGATAAAATTCTAATGAGCCCAAATACAATGTATAAAAAACCCCAATGCTTAGTCGAAGCCAAACAGTAGAGGGTTCTAATCCCAAAGCACAAGAACAACATGGAAGCTCGATGGAATTTGGTCTTGCTACTGCTCGGTCTGCTGCAGCTCGCAGCTGGCAACCCCGCGGGGCAACGTAATAGATTGTAAGTGCAAGAAATATAATAACAAATGAGCAGCCTTACCTAGTCAATACACACAGTGGATGCCTATTTTGAGATGGCGGACAGCAGCTCGCAGGAGCGAGTGGTGGGCGGCTACGATGTGCCCGACGATGAGTATGTGCCCTACCAGGTGTCCATGCAGTTTCTAACGCGCAGCGGCAAAATGCGGCACTTTTGCGGTGGCTCCTTAATAGCGCCCAACCGGGTGCTCACCGCGGCGCACTGCGTCAATGGGCAGAATGCGAGCCGGATCAGCGTGGTTGCGGGCATACGTGATCTTAATGACAACACCGGCTTTCGCGCCCTGGTTGCAGTCGTACGAGATGAATGAGCACTACGAAGAGCTGGTGACCAGCGATATAGCCATACTGAAGATTGATCCACCCTTTGAGTTGGATGGCAAGCGCGTGGGCACCATCGATGTAAGCAGCAATGAGCTGGTTGGAGCTGATCAGGAAGTGCTGCTTACCGGTTGGGGCTCTGTGTTTCACTTTGGCACCGGACCCTTTGCCAAATACCCGACCATACTCCAGAAACTCTCCTACAAGACGCTCGACAATGCTAAGTGTAAGCAGACGATGACTCAGCTGACGGATACGGAGATTTGTGCGCTGGAACGTTTTGGCAAGGGTGCATGCAATGTGAGTAGCCAAGGGCTGGACAATTTTAAATCTGACTGAATCACTCCTCGACTTATTCTTCCTGTGCAGGGCGATTCGGGCGGTCCTTTGGTATGGCCAACGGCGAGTCGCTGAAGCAGGTGGGCGTCGTCTCATATGGCACTGCCTTCTGCGCCTCAAACAGTCCCGATGTGTACACTCGCGTCTCCATGTTTGATGCTTGGATTAAAGAGCGCATGGCCTAGGCGGGTGCATGCCCATACCATACATGACACATACCCTTACTACTAAAAGAAAGCTAACAAAATAAATTCTAATTCATTAAATTAAGACAGTTGCTCAATTCAAGCAGTATAAAAAGAACGCAAGCAGTGCACAATATAGTGCGATTTTTGCTGCATACTTTTAAGCTGACGCAAAATTGCCGGTAAGCAGTGCGGATTATGCTTAAATATTGGCAGAAGAAAATTATTTAAGATACAAATTCACATTTATTTCGTTTTTGTTAAATATCTACGAAATCTCTATATATATGAAATGGATCGCGACGTTTGCTTATTGATAATATCAAAGGTCTATTTCCACTTCTTTCCTGAACTAAATAGCCTTCAATGGCGGGATCAGAGTTCTCTATGTCGCTGTTTTCTCTTCGCTATTCGTTTCATACTCGTCTTCTTGATCTTCAAACTTTCATCGCTCTCTTTAGCCTGTTCGGCTGCATCTGATTTTATTTCTGCGGAGTCGTGCCTCAGAGAATCTTTCATTTGCGGCCGCATCCTCTTCAGGCGCCTCCACAGCATTATCTTCGACTTCTTCGCTATTTATATTCTCCTCTTCATTTCGCTGCAATTTTCCGATTCAGTTTAGAAGAATCTGTTGAAATTTCTTGCGGCGCAGGCTGAGCAGATTCCAGGGTATGGAATTTCCTTACTTCGTGAATCAGGTTGTCATAGGTTTCCTTGTGGGCTTGTGAAGCCTATGGGGATCATGCGGATCATGAGAATCATGCGAGTCATGCGGATCATGGTGGGTGATGCTCTCCTTTAATGATTGTGATCGTGCGGCTCATGCTCATGTGAGTGATGCTCTCCTTTATGATGATCATGCGGCTTATGGTCGTGGTGATGATGATGATGATGGTCTCCCTTATGAGATTGATGTCCGTTGTATGGCGGTAAAGGGTAAGGGTAAATGATTGGCGGCGGTTGGTGATGTGGAGGTGGTGGTATGGGCCATGTGGGCGATGGTGGTCCTGGAGGTCCTGGCGGTCCCGCTGGTCCTTGTGAGCCTGGCGCTCCCGGTGATCCCGGAGATCCCGAAGAGCCTGGTAGTCCCGGAGGTCCCTGAGAGCCTGGCGAACCTGGAGATCCTGGTGAGCCTGGTGTTCCCTGGGATCCTTGGGAGCCTGGCGGTCCCTGAGAACCTTGTGGACCTGGAGCTCCAGGAAGGCCTTGAGGTCCTTGCGTACCTTGTGGTCCCTGAGCTCCTTGCGCACCGGTGTGGCCCTTGTCGCCCTTCTCTCCTTTGTCGCCCCTTTCACCCTTCTCGCCCTCATCACCCTTGTCACCTTTCGACCCTGGATATCCTGGTTTTCCTGGATCGCCTATACAATTGCATTGCAAGATTAGAGGCTTAAGATTGTCATTGTCAGGAATACATACCTGAGTGTCCTGGAGGACCTGGTGGTCCAGGTGGCCCGGGCGGACAATTACACTTTGTCGAGGGATGAGGATGATGCGGTGGCGGTGGCGGGTAGAAGTGTGGCAGTGGCAGCGGTGGTGGTGGTGGGGGGTGATAGTGAACGGGCCGTTTGATAATCACATTCGGCGGAGATGGCGCAGGAGCGGGTGTAGGTACCGGCAACTGAACTGAAAGATGTCTGCCAGCATTTTTGTTGTTCTGATTTCTGGTGGACAAGCTGATGCCGCCAGAGATGGCCAGTGCTGTGAAATGGTTGAGATTGCAGGATGGAAATATTATATCAAAGATAAAGGCCACTTACTTAGGCAGAAAAGCGTAGCGATCTGTGCCATGGCTAAAACTTATTTGCTGGGATCGACAAGTAATTGCTTTCTTTTATAGCAAAGAAATGGATCGGTTGTAGATATGCATAACATATACACACAAATGAGATCACTTTCTGAAATCCAGATTTGAAGGAACCGTTAAGCATAATATACGTCAAGATATCTTATTTTAATCGTCATCTTTTACTATCTTACTGTTCTTTTAATAGCAACCTCCACATATGGTCGCCTCATCGTCCCACAATTAATATGTATAAATATGCTCTGGGCTCAACTCGATTGGAATCTAAACCAAATGTTTTGATAATAACATGGGGATTTTTGGCATTAGTTCATCAAAATATATTTATGTAATTATATATTTTCTTATGATGTTAAGCCCACACCTCTTGAACGTCATTAGTTTGCCAAAGAATGAGAATGTGTAGTAACTTTTGCTGATTTGAATATATATTTATGAACTTTGCATAATAAGTTACACGAGCTTTTAGTTCTTTGTTATCTATTTTGTTAACTTCACAAACTGATCATAAAGATTGAATTTAATGAACTGAAGATTCGTCCAACAACAATGCAAAGTCGCGTGCCTAATAACCTAGATAAAGGTCAGATCTCAATGAAAACAGAGAATGGGCTAGCTTTTAAAAGCCTCAATGAAATTATAATTTTAAAATGAGTAATTCTAACAAATATGAATATAAATTATGTATAAAATTAGTCATTATCAATGAATCTCTAGTAAATAATAGATCTTATGTTTGTTTACTTGTCGTATATTAAGTAATGATGCAAGCTTTTCCCATACGATTCTTAGTTATACAAATCTTAAGAGAGTTAACTAGTCTGTGTTTAGTATATATTGCCTTTTCAACGGCTCCCAAATAATTATAATAACCATAACAAGAGAAGTTCGGATGGTAGTCGGGAATTCTAAAGGGAATCCCATGGGGAATTCTATCGGAAAATGCAACAGTTATTCAAAAGTTTTTATATTCTGTGTTATTTAAAAACGTACATACTAAATACTGCCGTTTCTAGCTGTTATAATCCCCGAGATGTGTTCAAAAAATCGAGTCTGGAAATCGATACTGATCGATTTCGTGAATGAGCTTTGGGTAAATTGAATTAAACTTGAGTTAGACGCTTAAAAAATTGAGAACCTCGAAATCTTAAGTTTTTAGTGCTAACAGTGCCTGATATCGATTCGTTGAAGGTCGATCAGGAATTAATACTTTATAGGGTCGGAACTTCTTCCTTCTGTTTCGAGTATACATAGATTATATATATATAGAGTAATAATAAAATAATATAAGCAACAATATAAGCAAATAAAATCGAACAAATTATTCTTAGCAGGTTTCAAGTTAATTTTGTTTATTTAGTCAAGCAGTGCAAAAATTCTAACAGAAAGCAGTTAAAATTTGTATCCTGCATATCAGAGAGCTCTGCAGGCTAATCTTATCGTATCTTTTTTATCATCCAATGATGCGTGCTTGGATTCTTTTCCAATTCGTATGCCTTTTACAATAGAGTAATTGTTTTCGTCCTCAAGCGAATCGAAGCCCTCGTCTAGGGACAGAGTCACCAAGCGCGCATCTCCATTCAGGCGAAGTAAACTTATGCCTGGTGGACCCGTGGGTCCTGGTGGGCCTATATCGCCTGTATCTCCCTTGTCTCCCTTTTCGCCAGGCTCGCCTGGGGTACCGGCATCACCCTTGGGTCCAACTGGACCAGGACTGCCGGGAGTGCCCGGATTTCCGGGTCTGCCCGGTCTACCTGGACGACTGGGCGGCCCTGGTGGACCCGGCGGGCAATTACAATCAATTCCAGGTGGGGGATAGAGATAAACCGGCGGAATGTATTTTGGTTCTCCTTTGTAGCTTCCACTCGATGAGCTCTGATCCGGCACATGAATAGCAATTGTTCTGCCGGCCGCCTCTTGGTAAGTGTCGGCAGAACTGATGCCGCCCAAGTGGACCAGACCTAGGAGGAGGAATTTGTATTATTCAAAAGTGTTTATTTGAGCATTCTTACCTAGGCAAAAAAGCGTTATGCACAGTTTCATGTCTAAATCGCAAATGCTATGACTATCAATTAACTGATTCCTTTTATACGAAACATCTCCATTTTCAAACCCAACAAAATTTATTTATGCTTATTTTATTGCGAAATTTCAATCTCAAATCTTTCGAACTGAATGCTGGCGAGATTCCCAGTTTCATGAAACCGTTAAAAGCTTACAGTTGTTTCTATTCCCTAGTATTTATTTTCTATTCCCTTGTGAAGAGTATGATACATTGGGCAAGCTATTTGTGTAGAAGGCTGGAAGGAGATATATATGCATCAAGTATAAATAAACTCTTGATCAGATCAGATCAAATAAAGGATGAAGCAGTCGAAGGATAAGTTATTTTTATAATGTGACAAAATATTGTTTGTTTTTAAATATCTTTACGAAACTCATCCACATGTCTGCAAAGTCGTAAGCCAATATTTCCAAAAGGGTATTTAATCTTCCACATAGCAAAGATAATATTTACTTCTCGTTATACTATGCTTTAAAATGTTAAGACGCATATGTGCATATATTAGCACATAATTGAATTCCCGAACAGCATGACGCAATCCGTGGAGTACAATACACTCGAAAATAGAGTAAAATAAATTATATAATATAATAAAATTAAAATCTATTTGTTCCTGATTGGCAAAAATAATACTGTCCCGAAATATGTTAAAACCCCAGTTGCAGACCAAAGATAATCAGTGTCAAGGAATTGTGGCCAACTTGAATGGCATCTTATTACTTATGCATAATGTCGCTTATGAGCTGGGATGGGTTAGACTCTTTAGTTATTCTCTAAATTCGCGAGCTGATTTTGTGAGCCGCAGACTGATATAGTGACAACTCAGTTTTATAGACCAGCATTCGGGAGCCAAGTTGAGAACTGGCCTACTTATGCTATCGAATGCTAATGCGAGAAGCATAAAAAGATATCTAAAATCCAAAGACAATGTGAGACGTATTAGGTCAAAATTAATGGAAAGATAAATATAAAACTATTTCGAGAATTTATTGCTCTGCTTGACTAAACTGAGAGAAAAGAGAATGTTAGAATATACGAAAATCAAGTTATGAACAAAACAATACTATATAGAAGAGAAGCGCACAAAATTATAGGAAATTGACACAGGTTCCAACCAAAATCTCTGTTTAAAAGTAAAAAGACTGTTTTAAGTGAACCAAACCAACGGCAATATTTATCTGGTATGCAGCTCTGTGAAGAAATGTAAAATGTTGACAACGAACTCTGAAAAGTACGAGAGGAAACTTAAGACGAGAACTGCTCATTGAGCCATTAGATCTTGGAGTCTTGCCAATTAATTATTTGCCCCCTCTGACAATTCCTCATGCAATTCGCCTTAGCTAGCCCACAGACAGCTGTGAAATTTGTTTTCTGGGTTAGGGTGACGTTTGAAGCATATGCCAATTACCGCCATGAAAGCTCGTTAAATTTTTAATTTCAAGATCAAAATAAATGGCATAACCGCTGCGTTATCTATGCAAATGCAACCCAATGGAGGTGGGTTTCAATCCTATAAATAGCCTGCCGTATAGACCGTAACTTCAGCAGAAACCAGACCAAGCATGTCTATAGTCGAACTAGTTTTGATGACAGCTCTGATGCTAGGTGGCGCCACGGCGCGTTCCAATTGTAAGTTGAGGTTATGAAAAATGGACGAAACAATTCAATACTTTACAACACTTGCCAGCAGCACGCCGGACCATCGGCTTTACGCCCACACGAGTCGTGGGCGGCTCGGATGTGCCGCATGGCGACTACGTGCCCTACCAGGTCTCGCTACAGTACAGAGTTCGCGACGGACATGTGCACTTCTGTGGCGGCTCGATTATAGCCCCGAACCGCATACTTACGGCCGCCCACTGTTGCAAGGGACTGAATGCGATGCGCATGTCCGTTGTTGCCGGCATACGCAATCTGGACGATCGAGGCGGATCACGCTCTCGTGTGCTCTCCTATGACATACATCCCGACTACAGGGAGCTAGTGACCAGCGACATTGCAGTGCTCAGCATTGAACCTCCTTTAGTCTATAACAATGTCAGCGTGGCGGCCATTGAGTTTGCCTCGAAAGAGTTTGTGGGCGGCGGCGAGCCAGTTACCCTGACAGGTTGGGGCTTGCGTTTGCCGGTCGCCTTTCCATTCCTAGAGAGCGTCACTATCCAAATACGCTGCAGCGCATGAGCTACAGTACGCTTACGAATCAAGAGTGTCGAGATATGGGCATGGCAGATGTTTCAGACACCGAGATTTGTGCCAGAGGAGTCTTCAGGGGCGCCTGTTCGGTAAGCAACTGCAGGAAAGGGGTTTAAAGGTATATTAAGATGAAAGTCCCACACACAGGGTGACTCCGGTGGTCCACTGGTCCGCAACGATAACGGCTTAAAGCAGGTTGGAGTGGTGTCCTATGGATTGGTCGTGTGCGGACTCTTCATATCGCCCGATGTCTACACAAGAGTATCCACCTTCAGCAACTGGCTTCAGGATCGCATAAAGTAGACCAGGCCACGTCCAATCTGTTTTGAAATTTCTTAATTATTTAATTAAATGTGGATAACAATTTTAATAAACAATTATATAATTGAAAATTTTTGATGAATTTGAACCAGCGACCTCTCGCTTTTTGGTCCGACGCTTTTTCATAGAAATTTTGACAGCCAGTTATTCCGACTTATAGGTTGTTGTTTCAGACCCAAATGGAAGATTCTGTAAAAATTTTTTAAATAAGAATAAACTTTAACTGCAACCTTCTCATTTAATCGTTCTGGCTGTTCCGACGGCTATCCTCAAGACATTTTAAATATATACAATTACACGTTGAACTAATTTACAAGCTAAAGATCACAAAACCCCAAAGGCCAAGGGAATCAGAAATAATCATGCGGTTAAAAAAAGGAAACATTAAAAAAAAAAAAAAAATACTATTCAGCTCCTTCGTCGGCTGGTGGTACTTCCTCTGCAGCTGGTTCTACAGCTGGTGCTGGTGGTGGCGCCTCTTCATCTGGCGGTGGTGCGGCGGTTTCCTCAGTGTGGTGCTGCCTCAGCTGCAGCTGGTTCCGCTGCAGGTTCTTCGGCCCTGGGCACTTCCGGTTCCGGTTCAGGTTCAGGTTCTAGGGCAGCTGGGGCAGCGGGCACTTCCTCGGCAGCAGGTGCAGGTGGAGCCTCTTCAGCGGGAGCTTCCTCTGCAGCGGGCTTCAATTTAGCTTCGGAGGGAGCTGCTGTAGGAGCTGCTGTAGGAGCTGCCGTAGGAGCAGCTGTGCCAGCGGCTGTGCCAG